AGGATCTTGTAGTACTCGAACTCAGGTTAGAATGATTTAGATCTTGTAGTAAACCATTATTGAGTTTTCATAGCATTGACATTGTTGGACTCTAAAATGTAAATGTTCATCCTTTTTATGGAAACTAGGTGACTCCATGCGTTACACGCGGTTAATTATTTTTTAGAAATCAAATAAATTAAAAAGTATTATTTCGTGGTTAAAAATTGCTAATGATTTAAGTTCAATTTTCTTTATATGAAATAAAATCTTTTTTCTTTTCCATTTGTTGGCACTAATTTTATTTTCATTAATAACATTGACAATAACATAATTTACAATTCAATTAACAAAAACCATTGAATTAGTCATTGTATCCAATTTTATATCATAATAACCAAATAAGATTTTGTCGTTTCTTTAAATTTCTCTATTTCTATTGATGTTGTAGTGTCGGCTTTGTCGTTAGCAAATTGGAACAAAATACTACTACTGTGTGTGTAAATTCTTTTGAAGCTTGAAAATTTGACAAAACAAAACACTACATATTGTGATCAATTGTGTTCAATATCCATTTAGTTAACCCGTGACAATTATTCTATTTTTGAATAACAATATCTAAAATAAAAATATCTATTATCGACAATATTGTTTTATGTTAAATTCAATAACGAATTTGGACATTTAGATTAGACGTTTTTTCAAGTTTATTTAAATTGTAAAAATATTCATTATTATTTTCTTATAACTTTATATATAAAGATGAAGTTTAATGTAGAATTAGAAATGATCTAGAGCAATAGGTTAAAGAATACTTTTTTGTTAAATAAATATGTACAACTCATATTTATTTGAATTGTATCATAAGTATAAATTATGTTAAATTTGGCTTGTCTGAATATCTTAATTAGAATTTAGAATACAAATAAATTATTTAATGTCTGAATATCCTTTGAACAATGTATTCATATAAATTGTATGTGTTGTTGATTCCTGAAATGATATCGTCTATATATTAAAAAGAAGCCAAAACTAAAAAAATTTATAAAAAATGAAAGGCGTTTGATCTCACGAAAAAATTGTTTTTTTACCTTTGATGGAAATTTTCGTGTATAAGTAAGATTAGTTTAATTGTGAATATCATACTCATCTCTCGAAACCATTTTTAAAAAAATCAGTTTGATCGGCCGATTGAATTGATATCAATTTTTTTGTTGCCCGTGATATATCAATATATAGTGCAAATTATTGGCTAGGTTTAATAGTGATTTTGAAATTGGGTGAATTGTGGCCGAGTTTATTATTAAGCTTCAGCTAATTTTAATTAATTAGAGATTAATGGACTAAATTAAAGAGAATGTCATGTCATATTTTTGACAATGTCATGTCACATTAAAATTTAAAGAATGATTTTGGTGAAGACAAATAATTTTTTTTTTTCAAAAAAATTACTCTCCAATTAATATACAAGGGATTCTTTTAGTGTGCTTGATAATTACACATGATTCTTATCCCTTTTTGGTTTTTCTCCAATTTTTCTCAATTAAGAATAACTTTGTACTTAGTTTCCATGATATATTTATTTCCTTATTCTTTGATGCCATTGCCGTATATTTAAAAAGTGTTTTGTTCTCATATAGTAGGGAAGATTATACCAGGAGACGAACAAATACCGATATGTGATATATAGTTAATCGGCAAAATTACAGAACATTATCGTTAAAAAAAAGTTCAGAACTGATTTTTCCAATGGCCCCGCAGAATAAATAATCGACACTGCTTAATGTTTATTCTCTTATGAATTAAATATCACACAAGGAACTCCAGTTTGATCTATAACACAACAGGAAAAACGGGTTTGGTAGCACCGG